TTGTTCCTTTTTTATTCGAAATTTTCCCAAACTTGTTAACTATATCATTAAAATATCACGATTCTCAAATATAAGTAAATACATTTTGCACCTTTATAGATCATGTTAGTTTATCTATAATGGGCTATGGGAAAAGTAGCCTATTATTAGTGTAATCTTTTAACTAGCCTATGCATAAAACCCGTCTTTTAACTTCTACTAGATATGGGTGTCATGTCATAGAATATTTTTAATACGACTGACTTTGTATTTAACGTAAATTTAATAAAAACATTGTAAGTTACTAATTATAACACTTTCATTGTTATTTCAACATTATCAAATAATATCAACTTCAGTTTAGACAGAGTTCAAGCACTATCAACAACTCCCATTACAATCACTGAAGCTGTTTATACTGTGAAATGAATATCTTACTTACATCGTACACACATCTGCACTTTGTTTATGATGAGAGAATTCGCCAGAGAGCAGCATTCAGTCAGCGAGCGCGCGCACTGAACAAAACACGGGCTTTTCAGCGATGACTCATCTGAATGCCTCTGATTGGCCATTGCATTCATAAGCTCAACAGAATCCTGTGTGATTGGTTATAATGCGCAGCACTGTAAAAACGCGTCTGGCTCAGCGCCAGCCAAAGCACGAACACAGATTTGAATTTGGCAGCTGATTCTGTGCCGCACTGAACGTTCTAATCGTATCAAATATTTAAAAAATATATTATTCAGCCATTTTTGGTCTTTCGGAAGCTGCATTCAAAATCCACTTTGCTTAAAATCCTGAGGGGGCACGGTTGAAATCACGTTCCTGGAGGAGCAGTATTTTGGCTGGGCCCCGCTCTGGTCTAGTGCCCTGGGCACATGCGTTAATCCGTCCCTGTTTGTTATTGACTCTGGTCTCAGAGCAGGAGAGGAGATATAATTACAAGCATTGCCACAAACTGCTGCTGATAGAATGAGATTTATGCATGTTGAGATATTGTTTCATAGCGATATAAGGACAGATCTGTCCGGAGAAACAGTCACTTGCACCTCTAATAAACATCTAAAGGAGGACAATCAAACTAGCAAAAGCAACTAAAGCTCCAGTAAATGTTTGGTGGCCAAAATCAGGAGCAAGAGCTCATGATGTGATGAAGATGAATGAAATTAACTTCATCTTCAGTCATTTGTGCTGAGATTTAGTGTGTCTAGTCAGAATTTACATTAAAGGACACACCTTACTGAAGACAAACACATGAGACTATCAGAGAGATGATCTTACCACAGTATCTCCAGTTTACAGTGAGGATCCTCCAGTCCAGCACAGAGACTCTTCACACCCAAATCTCCTACTTTATTCCCAGACAGATTCAGTTCTCTCAGGTGTGAGAGGTTTGATCTCAGAGCTGAAGCCAGAGCAGAACAACCTTCATCTGTGACGCCACAATCACTCAACCTGTAGAGAACAATGACACACTCTTCAGTCTCTCAGATCAGATCAGTTTAGCAGTGAATCCATTATTAAAGAGAAAGTACAAACACAAATAAGCAAAATAATTAGGAATTAACTCATTAGAAAATAAACATGTTTGATGGATCATTGGACTGAGATCTAAAATGTCACAGAACAAAAACATGAGCCTCATTTAGGAAAGATAAATAATATTACGTTGTTGCACAATGTCAGAGGTTTAAAGGGGTCATGAACTGAGAAACCAAAATTCCCTCGATCTTTTGACATAAGAGGACATTGTACTATAAAAACATCCTGTAAGTATCAGAACTCAAAACTTTGTCGTTAGTCTAAAAACAGCTTAAATTGAAGCCAGTCTGACAAAACCACAGCTTGAGGAATGTTCTACTCTATGATGTAATAGTGTGGATAAGCACCGCCTCCACAGAAGAACATTGACATCACTGCCTGTTTAGCTCCGCCCACCGATTCACACATACAGTGTTTACGAGAGAGACAAACATGCAGGTCTATGCAGAAACCAAACGATAAAGATGCTCTGAAGACAAGATGATGCTGTTCAGTGCCAAGCTGTGGAAAAAACAGTCTTTGCATTGCCTTCTTTCTGATCCCAATGTTAGGAAAGAGTGAGTTAACTTTATTTTTAATGAAGATACAGACCGCATCAGTAAGAAATCTGTCTTTTGTTCACTTCAGCTAAATAAGGCACAATGCGACGCAGGATTTTCTGAAAGATTGAAACTAAAAAGACGATGTTGTGCTGACGTGTGTTTACTTCTGAGTCTACAATCCTCCACATCTATTCAAACAGAGCGTTCTGATGAGGGGGTCAAAAACAGGACAGAAAATAGCTAATTACTTCTAAATTATGTTTTTGGATGTAAAAATCTTGACAACATTATAAGTGGACCTCAGAGAACAGTACAAAATAAAAAAACAGAGGCAGTTCATGATCCCTTTAAAAATTACAATTACTTAAATTCCTTTTTTTGCAAAGACATTTTAAATGATTGACAAACCCAAATAATGTATTCATATGCCACTTCTCTGTCTCTGAATCTAATGGTGTCACTGATTTGATATAAAACACATCAAAATACTGACGACTAAACTCTGGACAACATCTGCAGCACTGAATATTTATGAGCTTTAATTTAGATTTTCTTCATGTTTTAACAGTGAAGTGATTGTTCTCAGTGATACTTACTGAACTGATCTGGATTCTTTAATCACAGGCAGCAGCTTCTGAAGAACTTCCATATTTTCAAGATTATTCTTTCCTTTAACAAATTCATCAAGACGAAACTCATTCAGTTCCTCTTCTGATGTCAACAACACAAAAACTACAGCTGACCACTGAGATGAAGAAAGTTTGACTTCCTTTATTGTTCCAGATGTCAGATAGTGTTGTATTTCCTCCACTAGTGAATGATCACCCAGTTCATTCAGACAGTGGAACAGATTGATGGATTTCTCTGGAGAGTCAATGGTCCTGATATTCTTCTTGATGTACTCAACTGTTTTCTTATTGCTGTCAGAGCTGCTTCTTTTCAGCGTCATTATTTGTCGTAGAAGAATCTGATGAGACTCCACTGATAAACCCAGAAGGAACCGCAGGAAAAGATCCAGATGTCCATTTTTACTCTGTAGAGCCTCATCCACAGCTCTCTGATGCAGCTCAGATAATGAAACATGTTCTGATGAATTGAGTTGAAACCGGTCCTTCACTTTAGACCATAAACTCTGTTTGGTGATTGGCTCAAACGATTTTCTGTTGTTGTTTGTACAGGAGAGGTGCACATATAGAGCTGCTAGATGTTCCTGAATGCTCAGATGAACAAAGCAGAAGACTTTCCCCTGATACAAGCCAAACTCCTCTCTGAAGATCTGAGTGCACAATCCTGAGTACACTGATGCTTCTGTCACATCAATGCCACACTCTCTCAGGTCTTCCTCATAGAAGATCAGGTTGCCTTTCACAAGCTGCTGAAAAGCCACTTTCCCCAGTTTGAGGATCATGTCTTCATCTGTCACCTTCTTCTCATAGTCCTTCTCACGTTTGATGTTGGTCTGAAGGATCAGGAAGTGTGCGTACATTTGACTGAGAGTCTTGGGAATCTCTCCACTCTCTGCTCGACTCAACATCTTCTCGAGAACAGCGGCTGAGATCCAGCAGAA